AAAAGTTTTTAAATGTGTATGACTCAATTTAAGCGCAGCCTTGCCTAAATTTCTCATGGTCATATACCCACTGCTACAAAATGTTTTCCATTGAACATAGATAGTTTGACAAAATAAATAATTAATTAGACTGGGCGTGGTGGCTCATGCCTGTAATCCCAGCACTTAGGGAGACCAAGGCAGGAAGTTCACTTGAGCCCAGGAGTTCAAGACCAGCCTGGGCAAAAGCAAAACCCCGTCTCTACAAAAACTACAATTAACCAGGTGTGATGGTGTGTGCCTATAGTCCCAGTAACTCAAGAGGCTAAGGTGAGACGATCAACGGAGCCCAGGAGGTTGAGGCTGCAGGGAACCGGGACAGTGCCCCTGCACTCCAGCCTGGGAGATACAGTAAGACCCTGTTTGAATATTAATAATAAAATAAAAGTGTCTCTTTGTCTTTTGCAAATTGGCTTGATAAAATGGGACCCCCCATGAACCCCCATTTTATAGTTAATATGACCCAATGTAAGTTAAAGCAGGCCCTTCAAGGATTAAAACTCATTATATAAAACCTTATTTTTAAAGAGTGATTATCCCCCACTACTCTCCATTTAGCAGCCTAATTTTGCCTATGTTCAAATCTAAAAAAACATATATATATATTTATGTATATACATTTTAATATACATTTATATTTTAATATATAAAATGTACTATATCTAAATTTAATATGTATTTTAAATATATAAATGTGTATATATGGTACCTGTGATGGATCACTACAACTCAACACTGTAGTCCCATCCATCAGGCCCCCATACCTAGTATTAAAATTAAACTGATTTCCTTCAATCAACAACTAATAAATACTCTTACAAAGATGGCTAACCATGCCTATTTCAACAGCCCTTCAGGCAGTTTGCCTCTACCTCTGAAGGGACACAATACACTTTTCTAGGCTACTCACAGGAGACCTCCACATGAGGTCTGTCATCACACTGTCTTTACAGACAAGATGCACCTTCTCCAGGAGCACAGGTGCAACACTGCACTGAGAACATCCTCCTCCAAGGAGATTTCAATTGACTCACACTCACATTTGAGCTTAAAGAGGAGGCAGGCCGTCATTGGTAGCTAAGGAAGCCTGTAGCTGCCCTCCCGCTCTTCATCCTATCCCTAAGGAGGAGGGGTGATGTCATGGATTGGTCAGATTCAAGTCAAGTGAACCAAGCCAAGGCCTGGGGTGTAATCTCAGTGTGTGAAATAAAGGGGTTAAAGGCTGGTCCCAGGCTGTGGATGTCTCCCTTCTACTTCACTCTCAGACACTGCAGGTAAGCTGGGGGCCTGGGCTTATTCCTATCAGGAGGGAAGTGCATTTTTCCTTCTTCCCATTCCCCTCTCAACAGAGTCCCAAGAAAGAACAGGGGGAGGCCAAGGAGAAAGGAACAAGGACAAAACAGCCCCTTCTACACAGGTCCAGTGCAGACCCCAGAGGTCAGGGCTTCATGTTGGGGCTTGGGGTCAAAGTCCTAATAGATAATAAAAGTTTTTTTTGCTTGTGAAATCTGCTGTACAAATATTCCTCCAGGAATACCCTGGGATAGTAGGGGGCGGGTGGGTGTCCCTGGAATCTGTATTCCAGCCATCCATCTCTCAGCATCAAACCAGAGGAGGGAATGACCAAAATAGTTTCTGGGAAAAGAAGGGGGAATTCCTGGAGGGGTGCAGTAGCTCACATCTGTAATCCCAGCACTTTGGGAAGCCATGGCGGGTGGATCACTTGAGGTCAGGAGTTGGAGACCAGCCTGGCCAACATGGTGAAACCCCATCTCTGCTAAAGATACAAAAATTAGCTGGGCGTGGTGGTGGGCACCTGTAATCCCAGCTACTCAGGAGGCTGAGGCAGGAGAATCACTTGAACCCAGGAGGCAGAGGTTGCAGTGAGCCAAGAAAAGGAAAAAGGGGGAATTCTAGGCAGAGTGAATAGCATTCCAAAGGCAAGCAATAAATGGATGTCTTAATATGTGTGGAGCAATAAACACAGTGAGAAAGGTCTGTAGTTAGGGGATCACAGAGGAACTTTATAAGGTTTATAAAGAGGAACTTTATACCATACTGTGTGAGAAGTCTAGACTTCATCCATAAAAAGATGGTCTCCTGTGTTAGCCAACTGCTTGTGTTATTCTGGTGCTTGCTACATGCCAGGCATGATTCTGAATGTCTTACATGAATTAACTCATATAATTCTGAGACACTAAGATAAAGGACTTGCCCAAAGTCTCACCAACAAGGAACCTGAGGTTCAAAGGGGTGGAATAGCAGCAGATCTGTTCTTTTTACCAAATTTGCTACTCGGCAGTCATGGCATCAACAAGGAGACAGGTTCTGTTGACCCGGACTTACCGTGAGGTGACCTGGAGGAGGTAGTGTCTGAGCTGTGTCCTGAGAGACAAGGGATCAGGGCCAGCAGAGGCTGGGAGAGTTTAAGGTGCATGGGCTCCAGGATGTCTGAAGACTGCTTTGGGAAACAAGGGGATCCAGCAAAAAGAACCATAGAGAGAAGTGCCCAATGCTTCACAGCAAGTCAAAGCCCCCAGGATGTACAGTGCGGCATCCAAGAACAGAGCTGAGTGAGCCAGCACCGCCCTCGGATCAGCGCCTGGCCCCATACCTTTTACTTTACAGCGGAAGTTGGCTGTGATCCAGGATCTTCATTCAGTTTTATCAAAGTAAATGCAAATTTATAAAAAACAAGATTTATTGTTACATTAAGGAGATTATTTTTCTTTCTAGAAATGATGGGGGGATGCTTTTTAATTTTTTTTAAGTAGTATGTGTGTAGAACTTTAGTATAACCAGGATTCTTTCCTCATTTCATTGAAAAATGAGTGTTAACTTTCTCAATTTTTCCAATGAGGACATTGACACCTAGGAGATTAACTCAGGAAAGAAGCTGGGGCTCAAATCCAGTTATTCAGACTCCAAATTCTGTTTTCATTCTTTTTTTCTTTCATTTATCGAAAAAAAAAATACTGCATTCCCCAAATGTGCCAGGCACAGGACTATGCACTGAGTAGATAGCTGATGGTAAAAGAGACAGAGCTTATCTCGCAGGCCCTCTTCTCATGGTGCTTCTAACACTGAGGCAGGAATACGTGAAGATACACTATATAATACTCTATGTCATATTTCTAATCAGCACTTGGTGATTACATTGACACTTTTGGAAGGCTTTCACACTTGCATTTGTAGTTAGCTGCTCCCATTCTTTCACTGAATGCTGCTTTGTGCCCATTCTTCAGCAGACACTGTGTATGGACTGTAATACACAAGCAGCAGAGTTCAGTCTGGTAACACCTATGTGCAAACTACCTGCAAGTATTTATTGAGCACATACTTTTGGAAAAGCAGTCTTTCAGCAATATTTATTGGCACCTTGATAATCCTAACAGCTAATATTTACTGAATACTATGTGCCAAGGACCACAGTAAATTCTTTACACACATTATCATTTGTTCTTCACAGTAAGTCTTCAGAGGCAGGTATTTGAGAGCTTAAGTCAACATGCTCAAATTCATGACACTAGAAAGCAGTGGCAGCCAGCACTTCCTACGACTCTGCTGTCCTAACTTCCCACCCTATGCAGGGCACTGGAGATACAACAGTGAACAACACTGGTACAATCTCTGCCCTTAAAATGTTTACAGTCTAGGAGGGAAGATAACCTTTAAACAGTCATATGCTGTAATGTCTAACAGGGTACCTGGTCTCCTTTGAGCTTCATTCAAACTTCCCCAGGAATATGCCTTGTCAAGTGGATGCAGAGACTGAGTCTTTACGCAAAGAGAGAAGGGAGGGAGAATTCAGTCCAGCAGGGGGATAGCACAAAGAAAAGCTCCGAGGTAGGAAGAGGTCTGGCAGCCTGAGGCTGTGACTGGGCTGAGAGCATGGCTAGGTGGATCACAGGGAAGCTAAGGAAAAGAGCATGAGGAGTGGCACACAAATCTGCATAATTCAAAGGTTCCTCCAGCTGCAGGAGGGGAGAGTCCGGCCGAGAGCAAGGCAGTGTGTGGAGACGCCAGGCAGGACACTACTTCATGTGAGGCAGGGATGTGAGTTTGGATCAGCCTGTTGATAGAGGGAATGGCAGCATGAAGGTTGATTTAAAAAAATGTAGAAGAGAATCGACGGGGCTTGTGTGGAGAAATGAGGGAAAGGAGGGAGTCAAGGAAGATTTTTGGCTTGAACAACCCAGTGGATGGCAGTACTCAGGACAGCTCGGGGGAGGAAGATGAGAGTTCAAGTTGCATCCAGGGTGGCTGTGGACAACCATGGAGCTGATAGGTCAGGGGGCTGGTTGGTCATGTGGCTCTAGAGCTCGGAGGTCCTAACGGTGAAGGAGATCATCTTGGACAAAGGTGAAATGAGTGTCTAAGACAGAGCCCTAGAGGCCTTCCACTATGAAAGGTTATTATTAGAGAGGTCAGGTGCAGTGGCTCACACCTGTAATCCTAGCATTTTGGGAGGCTGAAGTGGGAGGATCACTTGAGCCAAGCGTTTGAGAGCAGCCTGGACAACATGGCAAGACCCTGTCTCTACAAAAAATAGAAAATATCAGCCACACACTGTGGCACACACCTGTGGTCCCAGCTATTCAGGAGGCTGAGGTGGGAGGATCACCTGAGCCTGGTAAGTGCAGGCTGCGGTGAGCCATGATCACACCACTGCATTCCAGCCTGGACGACAGACTGAGACCCTGTCTCAAAAAAAAAAAAAAAAAAAAAAAGAAGAAGAAGGTCATTAGAGAGGGGAGATTGAGCAAAGGGAACTGAGAAACATAGTCAAAGAGAAAGGAGGAAAGGCAGGAGAGTGTGGAGTCTGTTTGAAGGAGGGAGTGGGAGCAGGGCACAGTGGCTCATGCCTGTAATTCCAGCACTTTGGGGGCTGAGGTGGAAGGATCACTTGAACCCAGGAGTCCAAGACCAGACTGGGCAACATAGTGGGACCCTGTCTCTACCCCCCAAAAATTTTTTAATTAGCCAGGTGTGGTGATGCACTCTTGTAGAGCACCTCAGCTACTCCAAAAGCTGAAGTGGAAGGACTGCTTTAGCCTAGGTGTTCACGGCAACAGTGAATCATGATGGCACCACTGCACTCCAGCCTGGGTGACACAGCGAGGCCCTGTCTCAAATAAATAAATAAAGAGGCAATGGTCTGAGATGTAGAACCTGATGCTTTTAGCAGGGCACAGTTAAATACAGAAAAGGTTGTTCTGACCTGGGATTCGTCCCTGGGGGTCTTCATGAAGACCTCAGGCCGTGCCTGAGGTGCACCTGGACAGGCTACCTGCAGGAGAGGGACTGAGGGTGAAGGTTTGGGAACAGCAAATAATATCAGCAGGTAGAATGAGGAGGCAGAGCTAGAGGATTCCATGGAGGTCACATCACCCATGAGGTCCTATCACCCAGGTCATTCAGTCACTGGCCACTTCATGCTCATTTCATGCTCACAACAACTCTGCAGTAGTAATTCACTAACTCTTTGTCACAGATGACAACACTCAGACCTAGACATGGGAATTGACTGTTCAGACAGTGCAGATGGAAGCCGGGAAGGCAGAATTCAACCCTGGGTCTCAGGCCAGTGCTATTACCTCATGCTTCCTCGACTCGAGTGGCAACGAGAAGAGATTAGAGAGGATGCGGGCTGGGCAGAGGTGGAGAAGAAGGGGTAAGTGAGAGGGATGTAGGATGCGGACAGCAGGTAGCAGCTGAGAAGGACAGGGAAGAAGTTTGGGGCTTCTGGCAGTAGTCATGTGAACGGAGGTGGGAACAGCAGGGTATGGGTTCAGGGGAAGATGGAAACTCAAACGATAAGTCCGGCGACCGGCCTACTGACGAGTTGTGGGGCGGAGTTGTCAGAAGGCAAAGAGAGACACATATCTGAAGGTCAGAGGAACGGTCCAGCCTGTGAGAGTCAGAGAGAGTCAGTGTAATCTTGGATTTTGGTTCCTTTTTACCACTTAACAGCAAAGTTAAGAAGGTTCTGGGAGAGAGCTGACGGGGTACGGGTGGTGTCCCACGGGTGTCAAAGATGACTTCTGGCTCACCTCTGACTCGGTTTCCCCCACAGATGGCTTTTCCCTGCCGCAGGTCCCTGGATCCCAAGACTCTGGCCTGCCTCCTGGTGGGCGTGAGTTTCTTGGCACTGCAGCAGTGGTTCCTCCAGGCCCCGAGGTCCCCGCAAGAGGAGAGGTCCCCGCAGGAGGAGACGCCAGAGGGCCCCACCGACGCTCCCACAGCTGCCGCTCTGCCCTCGGTGCTGGCCCCCGGGCCCCCGTGCATGGCCAACGCCTCAGCCAACGCCACGGCCGACTTCGAGCAGCTGCCCGCGCGCATCCAGGACTTCCTGCGGTACCGCCACTGCCGCCACTTCCCGCTGCTCTGGGACGCTCCGGCCAAGTGCGCAGGCGGCCGCGGCGTCTTCCTGCTCCTGGCCGTGAAGTCGGCGCCTGCGCACTACGAGCGGCGCGAGCTCATCCGGCGCACGTGGGGACAGGAGCGCAGCTACGAGGGGCTGCAGGTGCGCCGCCTCTTCCTGCTGGGCACCCCGGGACCCGAGGACGAGGCGCCCGCCGAGCGGCTGGCGGCGCTGGTGGCGCTGGAGGCGCGCGAGCACGGCGACGTGCTGCAGTGGGCCTTCGCCGACACCTTCCTCAACCTCACGCTCAAGCACGTGCACCTGCTGGACTGGCTGGCGGCGCGCTGCCCGCACGCGCGCTTCCTGCTCAGCGGCGACGACGACGTGTTCGTGCACACCGCCAACGTGCTCCGCTTCCTGCGGGCGCAGCCGCCCGGCCGCCACCTGTTCTCCGGCCAGCTCATGCAGGGCTCCGTGCCCATCCGCGACAGCTGGAGCAAGTACTTCGTGCCCCCGCAGCTCTTCCCCGGGTCGGTCTACCCAGTGTACTGCAGCGGCGGTGGCTTCCTCCTGTCCCGCGCCACGGCCCGGGCCCTGCGCTGGGCCGCCGGCCACACCCCGCTCTTCCCCATTGACGATGCCTACATGGGCATGTGTCTGGAGCGCGCCGGCCTGGAGCCCAGTGGCCACGAGGGCATCCGGCCCTTCGGTGTGCAGCTGCCTGGCGCCCGGCAGCCTTCCTTTGACCCCTGCATGTACCGCCAGCTGTTGCTGGTGCATCGCTTCGCACCCTACGAGATGCTGCTCATGTGGAAGGCGCTGCACAGCCCCACGCTCAGCTGTGACCGGGGACACCGGGTCTCCTGAGGCTGGGTGGGTGGCCTCAGTCCCGGGCCTCCACCCGTGACGGTGTCCGTGCTGAGAAGGCAGCTTTCCCACCCTGGGTACCTTCCGTCCTGCCCAGCTCTGTGCACCTGAAACCCAGCTACGCACTGAAATCAGCAGGGTGTGAGGGATGCGGGAAATAACTGCATCCTGGCTGCATGTCCTGAAGTTTTGATTTGATTGGTCTGGGGTGACCCAAGACGTGTTAAGTATTTTTTAAGTTCCTCCGGTGATTCGAATGTGCAGCTAGACCTGAGGACCACTGGGCTAGAATGTCTGTTCATCCTCGAAAACCCAGCTCCACCGCCCCCTCTGCAAGCCTTCCCGGGCACCTGGCTCCCACACTCGGGTCCTTGTGGGCTGTGGAGCAAGGGATACCTGGGAATGTGGGAGCGAGGATCAGCGTACCCTGCCATATGCCTACAAATGTTAAGTTGCCATTTCCACCACTTCCTCTACAAGTGAGTGGAGCTGGAGCTGGGCTGACAGTCGTCAGGTGGATCCTGCTTCTCCCTCCCCCCAGAAGTCAGTCACATGTAGCTGAGGTACATGTGGCATCCTTCCTCTCACAGCTGTCCGGGTACCCCATGAGGTAGAAATCAAAGTGGAAACCAGAGGCCTGGTCAGACAGTGACTAATCCAGGGCCATGTCATTCTCAGACAGCACCCCATTTTGATCCCCTCCACACTCACCCCCACCAAAGTTAATGGCCTGGTAGGGTCCTGCCAACCAATGCTCACCCCCACAGGTCAGAGACAGGTTCCTTGCTGGAGTCTGGGTCTCAGGGTCAGTGGGCCTTGGACAACCCAGCAGGGAGTTCTGGGGAGTTCAAAGTGGAGAAACGCTGATGGGAACATGGAGGCCAGCATTGGAGAGGCTATGGAGGCAGGTGTGTAGAATTGTGTTTGGGAGGTGGGAGATCTGAAACGGAGGTGGATAGTGGTTAAGAGAATGTGCAGGGCTTCCTGGGAACTTGGTGACCGGGGCTGTGAGAACCAGGCTGTGGTCCCGACCTGAAGCAGTTACAGCTGCCAGTCATCTTGGCAATATAGAAAATCAAGGAAACAGCCTAAGGACAGGCAGAAGTGTGTGTCAGCAAGGTCCCAACTATATAAGATGGATGCAGGGACTCGCTTTCAGGGAGGAAAGAACCTGGGCAGAAAGTCAGAAGACTGGCCAAAGGATCTTCGTTGCCTTCAGGACAAAGACCAGACTCCTCAGTCCTGCATTTCCGGTTCCACGGACTGCCACTCACTGCTCCCTTCCCCTGGGAGCAGTGTGATCCACTGGCCTCAGCCTCCCAAAGTGTTGGGATTATAGGTGTGAGCCACCACACCTGGCTGAGGTGATGGTTTTAAAGTGCAGCACTTCCTCGTTTTCGCTCCCACTCCCTCCTGCTGCCTTGTGAAGAAGCTGTCTGCTTTCCCTTCACTTTCAGCCTTGATTGTAAGTTTCCTGAGGCCTCCTAGCCATGCTTCCTGTTAAACCTGCAGAACTGTGAGTCAATTAAACCTCTTTCCTTTATAATTACCCAGTCTCAGGTAGCATCCTTCATAGCAGTGTGAAAATGGACTAATACACTTTCCACAGTCATGTTCCATGTCAGGGCCACGTAAATCCTCTGTAAGCCACATAGGAGGGCACTGTCATTCTGCTGGCTTACTGGCAGCTCTGAGAGGTCAAAGGAAGCAGGAGGAGGTGGCAATTCCAATTGACCCTTCTGCAGCCCTTGCCATGGGCCTCCGGTAGCCACAGCCACTTGTCCCTTGCTGGTCTTTTTTTCTGAGCAGGCCATAACAAGTACTCCTAAATGATTTCAGGGTGAATGGATGAGTGGATGCATGCCACCTGTCCCAGTGGTGTGGATTGCATCTCTTAGGACAGCAGTCCCCAACCTTTTTGGCACCAAGGACTTGTTTTGTGGAAGACAGTATTTCCACAGACTAATGTGGGGGATGGTTTTGGCAAGATTCAAGTGCATTACATTTATTGTGCACTTTCTTTCTGTTATTATTACATTGTAATATGTAATGAAATAATTATACAACTCACCATAATGTAGAATCAGCGGGAGCTCTGAGCTTGTTTTCCTGCAACTACACAGTCCCATCAGGGGTAATGGGAGACAGTGATAGATTATCAGGCAATAGATTCTCAGAAGGAGCATGCAACCTTCCACTTCTAAGAACCCTGTAGCTACACTGGGCCTACCTAAATAACCTGGGATTCTCTTCCTATCTTAAAGTCTGCTGATGAGCAACCTTCATTCTGCCTCAACCTTACTTCCCTTTGCCATGTAACATGGTGACATGCAACATATAACATTCTTATGCAACATGTAGCAGGCACAGGTTCCAGGTATTTAGTAGGGTATGGACAACTTTTTTGGGGGCCTTTATTATTGACCACAGTGCCCAGTAAACATTTATTGTGGAATAAATCAACAGTTATGAATGCACAAAAATGAATTAATGAACAAGAGTGCTTATTTCACACAGACCTCCTAGATGCGAACTCTCATTCTGGACTACTGAGTGTCATTGATTCTGAATTCCCGCCCCTAGCTGCCATTTGTCAAGCGCTTACAAGATACGGGAAAACAAGAATGCTGAGGCCAGAATGCGGACAGGTCCTCTGGAAGGTGCAAATTGTGCTTTGACACAAAATCACACAAAAGGTGCCTTTACAGCCTTCTCCCATTTCCCTGACAGACAAGCGGATTATCCCCGTTCTATTCGTAGAGATGAAGATTCAGGACCTTGCTGGCTCAGAGGCTTGGGAAGCCGCCGTTACGGGTGGGCTGAGTGACTCTGGGTCCTGGCCACCCGGTTTCTGAAGGTTGCACTCGCGTCCAGGCCCAGGGAAGGCTGCAGTACCCGCGCAGCCCGGGCAGCATCGGGCGCCACGTGGCGCATGGCTCTCCAAAGCCCTGTCCCGGCGCTCTTCGCCCCGCTCATCTGGCTCTTGCGGCCCGCGGCCGCCAGGGGGCGCGCACCGCCCCTCGGATCCCGCACACACCTGGACTCCACAGAGCAGCCACGGTGCGCGGGCCCCCAACGGCCCTAGTGAGGCCAGCATGACTTTGACACTCAAAGGGCTCAAACCCCCAAGAACTCCAGGAGCAGGGAAGATGATGCGCCTATCTCAGGAACCTAGATGAAAACAAAAATCTTACACAAAATGCTAGCAGACAAAATGCGGTGACAGGTAAAAAGGAGAATGTATCAGGACGGAGGTGTGTTTATCCCAGAAATTCCAGAGGGGCTTAGCATTAGAAAAACAGCCAGACTACGCAAATAAGACAGGACGATCCGTCAATGCGGTGCATTGCATCAAGAGAAATATAAGCATTTCAGAGGCATGGAAAAGACGTTTATTAAAATTCAACATCCATTAGTGATTTTAAAGAAAATCTGATTAGTAAGAGGTGAAAGCATTTGACAGCATTTCACTTAAGGTTAGGAGCAAGATGAGATGTGCCCATCTTCACTACTTCTGTTCGGAATTGTCCAGGACTGGAAAGCACACAAAGATGAGAAAAAATACAGAAATATAATAACTGGAAACAGAAAGAAATTTTTCAAAATTTCAGAAGTTTAGAACCCTATCAGATCCAAATTTCCTTTCTGTAACAAATTAATGCCACTCTCCCATCCTGAAATGAAATACTTAGATAATATAACACCTCCACACACATATTTTCAAAAAAACAATACAGCACTTTAATTGTAATATGAGGTAAATAAAAGAAAAATACCTTAAAATGTTCATATTGATTATGTAAATTCTTAGACCTAACAACAAAAAAATTAAACTCCCCTGCAAATTTCCAAATCTCCCCCTAGGGGGCAGTACACCTCTTCAAGAACTATTAGTCTTCATAAAAAAGCCCCCAATAACCACAGACAAGCACAAACCCTCCAGATAATACACTAGTAAGAAAAAGTAGCAACTTCTCTAGATAAAAATATCAATATACAAAAATCTAGGCTGAGGTAGGTGGATCGCTTGAGCCCAGGAGTTTGCAACCAGCCCAGGCAACATGGTGAAACCCCACCCCTTCAACAAATACAAAAATTAGCTGGGAGTGGTGGTGGCATTTGTAATCTCAGCTACTCGGAGGTGGGAGGATCCTTTGGATCCGGGAGGTCAAGGCTGCAGTGAGCCCTGATAGTGCCACTGCACTCCAGCCTGAGTGACAGAGTGAGAACCTGTCTCAAAAACATGAAACAAAACAAAATCTATTTAATTCCTATATTGTAGCAACAAGCAGTCAGGAAAAGTCATTCTTTTAAAGTGTCAACTAAATCGAAAACAAGATATGCAAGAAAATAATTAAAAATTATGTTAAGATATATGTATCTTATGTTTCTTATATGTATATATCTTATGTATCTTTATGTCTTCTAGATATGAGGTATCTTATCTATAAAATATAGAGCTATATAAGATTTATATATATAACTTTATTAGCAATTTATTAATCTTTTTATTAATCTATATATCTCTCTATATATTTCTGAGACAGTCTCACTCTTGTCACCCAGGCTGGAGTGCAGTGGCACGATCTCAGCTCAGTGCAACCTCCACCTTCCGGGTTCAAGCCATTCTCATGCCTCAGCCTCCCAGGTAGCTGGGATTACAGGTATCCACCACAATGCCCAGCTATTTTTTGTATTTGTAGTAGAGACAGGGTTTTATCATGTTGGCCAGGCTGGTCTCAAACTCCTGACCTCAGGTGATTCGCCTGCCTTGTCCTCCCAAAGTGCTGGAATTGTAGGCGTGAGCCACTGTGCCCAGCCTATATTTTATATATCTTAACATAATATGTATCTTATATGTTAATATACATATATCTTAACATAATTTTAATATATATTAAATATACATTAAAATTATTATATATACTTAAATATGTATCTATGTATTTATTTTTATATATATGTATTTTGGAGACAAGATCTCACTCTGTCTCCCAGGCTGGAGTGCAGTGGTGATATAAATCACAACTCACTCATCACTAATGGCTCACTAACCCTGTATTGCTCAGGCTGGTCTCGAACTCCTGGGCTCAAGCGATCCTCCCACCTCAGCCTCCCAATGTCCTGGGATGACAGGCATGAGCCACTGCGTCTGGCTGTATTAAGATGCTTTCTAAAATACACAAAGTAATGTAGAGAGACATCATGTTATAAAGTACCTCTAAGCCCCCGATTTCCTTGTGTCCTCACCGAAACCAGAAAACGTGATTATCATCCCTACTTGAAAAATGTGGAGGCTGTGCCCAGGTAGAGAAGAGACCCTGGGCATCAAGGACTGAGGGCCTGGGCCTCCTGCCTGCCATTCCTGGGCCCTAACCTCTGCCCCAGCCACCTTGCCTTGGGCCCACTACTCCCAGAGTCCACAGGCTAGCCCTGTACAAAGCCAGAGGCCGGGTCTCCAAGCTTCAAAGAAAGAAAGCAGACAGGAATCTGGCCGTCTAGTCAGTGGGGCACCTGGGAGTGTTCTATCTCCCACAATATCCCTGAGTCCACATTTCAATTAAAACTTACTGAAAATAGAACACATACCAGGGAGGAAAAAATAAACCAGCCGTAGCATTGTTCACACTTTCAGTGGGAGGAAAGCATCCTGGCCCCCACCATCTCAGCTGCACGAGGAGCTGGGCAGGGTGGAGGGCAGAGCTCAAAGGCAAGGCCCCGTCTAGGTTCCCTCACCCCAATGCCACACCTACTCACTCCCTGAAACCCTGAAGAAAGAGCAATAATGCCAGGCGCAGTGACTCATGCCTGTAATACCAGCACTTTGGGAGGCTGAGGCAGGCGGATCACGAGGTCAGGAGTTCGAGACCAGCTTGACCAACATGGTGAAACCCCGTCTCTACTAAAAGTACAAAAATTAGCCGGACATGGTGGTGCACACCTGTAATCGCGTCTACTTGGGAGGCTGAGGCAGGAGAATTGCTTGAATCCAGGAGGCAAAGGATGCAGTGAGCCAAGACCATGCCATTGCACTCCAGCCTGGGCAACAAGAGCAAAACTCCGTCTCAAAAAAGAAAAGAAAATATGATTATGGAGAGACAGGAAGCCCAAGCCTGAACAGTTTTGAGAAATGCCCTCCCTGCCCGACTCCCGTGCATGGGAAAGAGGGTCCTGAGAGAAGTGGTGGCCAGCCTAGCACCACACAGCGGGTCTGCGGCAGAGGAGGAAGCCCAGGTGTGACCCTCGTTCAGAATCCAGCCCTGGAGAGGGTGGTGGGTGAGGGGTTTGAATGTCAGCTCCTGCGCCCCTGCGTTCAGTCGGCCAGGGCTACAGCCACCTGCCAGAGGAAGACATGGAGCACAGCCAGGGCCTGTAACTGGGGAGCGCTGCCTGAGAGCCCAGACCACAGGCCCCCAGTATTGAGAAATAGTTTTCAAACCATGAACTGAGACCCATGTGTG